AATATAAGTAAACAAGGGTAAAAGGACGGTAGGGACGAACTACTCCAACTCTTTCACCGTGCCTGTGTGTGTGTGTGTGTGCGTGTATGTGCTTGCGTGTGAGTGCGTGTGTGTGTGTGTGCGTGCAAATATGTGATAGATCCGTTGCTATTTATCTGGGGATTAAAAGAAATGGTATTCGTAACGTTCGGCCATAAAAATAATAATTCTGTAACTGCTGTAACTATATTTCAACTATTCCTTCCACTGAGAGTTATAATCTAGAGCAATCAATTGAGAAGTGGATCAATATCCAAATTTCAGTTTGAAGCTTTCCTTCCAGCGTGTTTAGGTTCTACTCAAACAAGTATGAATTTCCTCCTCTTCTTCGGCCAAACAACAGTTTCACTCAGTAGAGCTGATACCTCTCATAGACATCAGTCCCCTAAATATAACAGATTTTTCATCTAGATACAAAGCTCAGGGTTTTAGTTTACACCAGAGTTGGTCCTCATTGCCAAAAACGTTCGATTCTCATTGTCTTTCCAAGTTGTTTGTTGGCTTCTTCAAAGTGTATGGCTCCTCTTTTTTCTATTTTTATGAAGGATCATTGTAATCGTCTAGTTTTGCATCCGTCGCATGTTAGAAACGTCCTAAGCGTGGCCACTCGCTCGCTGTATTCTCACACGGGCTCACCTGGACATTCTCCAGACGTTTTGCTAGAGAGCTGGCAGGCAAAGTTACGCAAAAAATGTGCAGAGCAACTGACTCAGACGTTTGCGTTCTCATTTACAGACCTTCCAGACTTAAGTGGATGTCCGTAAGCAGCTTATGTGTGATCAGCACCTATCATCCACCCGTCCTGACCCAGAATCCTTTTCAGGTTCAGTTGGGGCTCAAGTCTGGATGCAGTGAGTGAGCGGGTAGCCAGAAGAGACAGGGTAACCCGAGGCCTTTCCACCAGTCTGTTGCAGTGTGAGAGGAGGAAAAACAATGTGTGCAAGATGGAATAATAAGATAAACCTGTGAAAGAGAGCTATACAGGACTACAGGACGGTGAAGACAAACAGGAAAGAAAGATGTTTCGTACTAATTATCCTTCGCACGACACAATGTGAATCTATTTTACAATTCTATCATGACGCTGAATGTGGAACCAACAGAGACGAAAATAAACAGCTTCCGAGTTACGCAACATCGCTCTGGAAACAGCTCATAAATATTCATGTTGCAACTCTGAGCGTCTCACTTTAATTGATAGAAAACATTTTGCCACACCAAGATGGCAATTGCTGTGTGTGTTTGTTCTATTGAATGCATGCATCTGTGCACGCGTTTCAAAGTTGCTGTACTCACTTTATAATTGCATGTTTGTATTTGGTACACAATTGTGTATTGTGTTTTCCAGTACGCGGTTACAGCTGCAGTGATTGTGTGTGTATGTAGTACACGTTCCACTCTGTGACGTATGCATGCACGCATTCAGTATTTGCGTCGTCTATGTCAAGCTTTGTGGTGAGGTTCTCATGTGTTAGTGACTGTAGTCTTGCAATGTGAGTGTGTGAGTACACCCAGAGGGGGGGTCACCCCTCCTCCATGTGCCATCCTCTGTGCCCTCAGCAACATGCATTTAAATGTGATATTTATACGGTGCCACTGTTGGATGACTGTGTAATGTCTGAGTGTTCACATGCAGCAGGGGTGAGATGCCTGCGAGCGTGACAAAGAAAATGAGAAGGTTATCCTGACACCACCACTTCTAATGGGCACCGAACCTGCTCCATGTAAGTATATGTACACAGAAAAACACTTAGAAAAACACAAATATGCACATTTCAAATCAAAACCCTACACACCAGCGGTTAAGGCAAAAATTAATTCGAACATGCATTAGCATTCTACGACCTCTTCTCTCCCTGCCTGTAAATGCCCTTTCTCCGCCCCTCCTCCATCTTTTATCTCATGTCATTCTTTTCTCTTCCTTCGAGCCATTATCAGACTCACTCTAGCATTGCCGGTGATTCCCTTCGTGTCTGATATAATGTCAAACACGCAATTAAGAGCACATCAACAGCTGCCTGACTCAATTACCTTGACAAAGAATAAGCGTGGGCCAAATCTATTGTGCACCCAGGTGACGGCGCTGAGCCCCGCCCTCCCCTTTAGCGTACTATAAACAATAATTCACGTTAAACCAACTTGTCCCTCACGCCACAGTTTGACAGAAACGAGCAGAGCCCCACCTCGCAGGTTTGCTGCATTAAGTCACGTTGGTGCACCAGTAACTATTCCCACATTTTGTCAACTCTCAATCATTCCTGTCACTGGAATTTCCTCTTTTCCTCAGAGTTGTGATGAAATCTGCGGCTCAGCATTAGGACGACACTTTGTATGGCAACTGGAGAGAAGCAGCAGCTGTCGCCTGCCTGGTGGAGTATCTAACAGAAAGCCGAGGATACGCAAGCCTCCGGGTAAAGCAGCACAGACTAGATCCCATGTAACCATGGTAACAAACAGGGACATACAACCATGCGCACACACACAAAGTGGTCATAGACAACAAGTCTTCATTGACCATAATTTACTAATTTATGCGAGGAAGTCAAGACCAGTGGGTTTTTACAGTTTAGTGTTTGAACGTAGTGTTACTCCGAGCTCAGGCACAGAGTTGGAGCTTCTACACAGTATTTTAGGCAAATATTTTTTTTACAAGAGCCGCCAGATATGGATTTTTGGAGCTAATGCCATTATCGACGTCAGGAGTAAAAAATGTCTGGTGCTGAGAGGTGCTCTGCAGACTAATCTCTGCAGATCGACATTAAAATGAGACAAAACAGTGTAAACAGACTGAATGTTGAAGTTGAAGAAAAATCTATAATATTATAAATGCATGGCTTACGAGTACAGATGTTCCAATACCAAAATTGAAAATGCCTCAGATGCAGCTGAAAATGCAAGGTCGGGCGTCAGCAAGTACACAAATCTGTGTACTGATCCGTTACCACAACTTTAAAGTTTATTTGTGTTACCCAAATAAAACTCTCTGTATTCTACACACTGAACCTTTAAGTTGTGAGTGAAAGTAAGATTTTATAATTATATTCTTTATATTATTCAACAGATCAAATCAAATCATCACCTGAGCCCCATCACCGTCCACCTTCATGTCCAAGTGCATGACGGGGGTTTAGATCAAGGATCAAGTCAAGAATGTCGTCCTCTCTGTCCTGTGAAGTGTCCATCTCTGACACAGGAGTGTTTGTCTTCTTGTCAAGCATCTCCGAGACAGAGAGCTCTACTGGGAGCAGTCAACCCCCCCCCACCTCCTGCGAGCCCATAAACTCTGTAAGTGGGATGAGGACCGTGGTCCAGGCGGCTGAGGTGGCAGCATTTTTTGCTTCTAGCGACCTGAAGCTCCCGGAGTTCCCATTAGACGGCTTCTGTGTCCTGCTTTTTCCCACGACCCACTTGGCTCAAATGAAAGCGTCCACACTG